TTTGATTCAAGCCTGAGCTTGTGTGGCACTTGCAGGCTAAGTTATGTCAACTTCTGGTATCATTTTTCCAACGCAAAGCCACTGGTTGAAAGTTCGACCTTGGTAGGTCGAAAGTTGCCGCCGTCCTTGGTAGGTCGAAAGTTGCCGCCGTCCTTGGTAGGTCGAAAGTTGCAGCCATGACTCTTGAGGCCGACACTCGACCCCTTGAGGCCCAAACTTGGCAAGGTCGAAAGTTGCCTTGGACGAAAGTAACCGAGCTGAAATAACGTGAACCATTCGTTGGTTCTGGACTATTGGAGATTCAATTCATCCGTTACGGAATTAATTTTGTATTAATTCCAATTTTAAATTTTAAATTAAATCTTAAATAATGGTGGTTGTTTCAAGTGTTACAAATCGTGTATTAAATGTCAAAACTAAATGTTATTGATCCTTCACCTCCTATATAAGAATGTGGTGGGAGCAGCATATTTTTGGACAAGTGAAGTAGTGGAGAACTACGAACATAGAGACAGTGAGAAAGTGAGAAACAACACAAGAACACACACAAAGAAATTTTACTTTTCTTCTCAAAACTCTGCTCTTACTCCATTCTTGAAGTTGTGTTCTGTTCGTACTCTTGTTCGCCAGGTTCGTTCGTTTGGGTGCTCAAACGTCGAACCGTTGTAAGTTTTATCCTGGGAAGCTTAGGCCACAACGCTCCTAACACTTTGGGAGGTGGCAAATAAGGTTTTAAGGTAAAAGCCCACTTCGCCTAACTCGTACTTACCATCTTTCTTCCTCTCCTTCTTTCTTGTTTTGGATTATGCTTTAAGCAAAAATCCTTTCTACTTTCTTGTTGATTGGAATTGTAATCTGGAGGATTACAAATTCTATTTTGGTTGATATAGATATATGTATATCTTTTCCCATATATATATATATATATTTCAGATATATATCCAATAATATTTTATATATTTTCGTGTGTATATATATAAATATTATTTTGGGATATTAAATTGATTTGGTTCATTATCACCAACAATTTTAACCGGGTCCATATAAGAGGATCGCGACTGGTTAAATTTTGAAAGTTGAAGGACCATGGGTGGTTAACTTGGACCACAGATGGTAACATTTTGAAAGTCGAACTAAAGATCACGGATAGTCAATTTGAAAATTTAGGAATAAACTTGACAAACTAGAACCATTATACTCGAAGGATCCCATCGAAAATGCTCTCCTTTTTTGTTTTAATTTGTAATTACTGATTTATTTGTCTATTTTGTTAATTTTGTGTTCCAATGTACATTTTTCCCTAAGAAAATGCTTCCATTAAATTAAAGAGTTAACTCCATTTTTGGTCCTATATTTATAATTGGCATTTCACTTTTAGTCATTTTTTTTTCAAATCATTCTTCTTTGGTCCTAGGTATTATTGTGACATGATCATTTTTGGTCCTCCATCAACAAAAACGTTTAAATTCTGTAAAATACAAGAGTATCTAGTTCTTCAATTATAATTTTTTTTTCAATAAAAAAAGAGTTAATAACCAATTTGGTCCTCCGACTATTGCGAAACTACCGTTTTGATCCTCGACTACATTTCTTACCAAACTAAGTCCTCAACTATCCAATTTTTACCCGATTTTATCCTTCGTCCATTTGAGTGGAGACATCGTCTAAATGAAGAACAATAATGTAAATACTCATGTCATCTTCACTGGCCTCTTCTCCAACGCTAGCGTCTTCTCCATGGCGCCGATGGTCCCCAAGAAATCCGCCAGCTTCGACTTGGGCGACGAGGATTTCAGACGGGATAATCATTTTCACCTCAGAGCTAAATCCATGGATCATCGTCCCAAAAGCATCCTTAAAACGAGGGGTCGAGGTTCTGGCGCTGCAAGACGTGAAGGCGGAGGAGGAGAGAGAGATGACGGAGGTGATCAGAGGCTGGCAACGACAGAGGTTTCACAGTCAAATAGCTGTGTGTATTTACATTATTGTCCTTGGAGAAGATGGAGACATCACGGTCAAATGGACGGTGGACGCAATCGGGAAAAAATTGGATAGTTGAGGACTTAATTTGGTAAGGAATGTAGTCAATGACCAAATCGGTAGTTTCACAATAGTGAGAGGATCAAATTGGTTATTAAATAAAAAAATGAAAAATATAGCGGGTTAACACACTTTGTATAAAAATGATCGAAATGGCCTTTTATTTAGCGATATTTCGACGATTTTGTTGACGAAGGATAAAAAATGGTCATACCACAATAATACTAGGACCAAAGATATCTGGATGTTCTGGAAAAGAAGGACTTAAAGTGAATTGACACCTATAAATCTAGTACCAAAAATGGAATTAACTCTAAATTAAATTAACCAAAAAAAAAAAAAAACAGAGTTAGGAAATTAAACAGAGAATTTTTGTACACAACCACATAGCAGACAGTGTTATTAAGGTATAACAACAATAGTAGGAACAATATATATAACATTAAAAGTAATCCTCAGTCCTTCCCTTGAAGCCAATCTGTCCAAAAGTGAGACACAGGAACAACCCCAAATGCCAGCATACCAGCCACAGCCTGTCCATCCAATCCCAGAAAACATAATGTTAAGACTCCATGGAGACATTAAGTAGATGAGGAGGAGAGTGGAGGCATATATATATGTTTTGTTTTTTGAGTAACAAGGAAACCTGCAGCCACTATCCGAGAGTGTGTACGGGATAAACCCCATCTTGTGACTCTAGCCGGTAAAAGATCACAATGAGGCAAACTAGACATGATTGTCTATAGCTGACCAGTCCAAACTAAGGAGGCCAATAGACACCTCCCACTGAAAGTTGAACTTGGAACTTTATGATTACCAAGCCAACAACCTGACTAGCTTAGCTAGGATTGTCGCATTAGATAAAACCCATTTTGTAACCCTTAGACCACAAGGGAATAAACCAGCCTAGATCGCACATAACTGACCGGTTCAAATCAAGAAGCTTAATAAGCCACTCCCATCAGGAATTGAACTTAAAACATTGTAGTTACCAATTAAGCCAACAGTCTAACCAACTTAACTATATATACTCCTTCTATCTCATTTTATCTGTCCTACTTACTATTCATTGGTCAAATCAATTATTTCTTCTTTGCTTATTTTCTTTAGTATTTTTTACTTATTTTTAAATTTGATCTTTTGTGTTTAATAGTACTTTGAGTGTAGTTTCTAAATTTATAATTTTGTATACTAATACCAAATTTAATATTATGAAAAATTAGAATAAAAATAACTTTAGTCAAGACTCGTTAATCGAACCAGACACTTAAAATGGCAGTGATGGAGTATATGTTAAATGTACTAACCAGAATTGAGAAGTGAGGGCAGGTCCAGTGGGCCAGTGAGAAAGCTCAGTGCCAATGCTGTCAAAGAAGAGTCCAGTCAAGCTCTTGCCATTGATGAGTGGAACGCTGGATGGTGCAATCCATCCTATCAGCCCAAACCCTATCACATTCAGGTCCCTCCTCAGCCAGTCTCTCTCAAAGCTTCACCAAAACAATATATCATATATCAATATGTGTGTCCAGTTTAGTCTAAATATAGAAGCAGAGGTAGATTACCATGTAAATTTGCCCATGCAAGCTCTTGGTAGCTTTAGAGGGTTCCTTGCTGATACTGCTGGTTTCAAGAAGTCTGTGCAAAGAGATGGACCTTATTAGAATCTAAGATTGGGCTATAATGCACATGAGCCAGACACAATCAATTAGCTATTCACCCATGACTTTATAAACGCATATGTGACTCTTAACACTTCCCCTCAACTAGACGGACAGACAATTTGGGTGAACGTATACAAAATGGACTGAACAAACTCTGATACCATGTTAGAATCTAAAATCGGGTCAATGTCACTTAATTGGGCTTACAAAGCCACACTATATAAAGTGATTTATAATATAAGAAGAGGTGGATCTCTAAGGCCGGAAAGTATAGTATATTACCTGAGGTGAGAAAGAGTTTGTTTGGAGAAGAAAGTCTTGGAAGAGAGGAGGTAGCCAGGCCAACAACAGTTGATGCTGCACACAGTGTTGCTGCCATTGTTGGTCTCTGATCTGATCTTTGAAAGTGGGTGAAAAGAGATGAATATAGTGGTGAGATTTTAGATTTTTAGTGGGGAGGGTATAGTAGCTAGATATGAGGCAAAATTTTGTGGTGGAAAGGAGGATTTCAGTGGCACTCAGATTTGCAAGGATGGCATGCTGAGCAATGCCATCTTGCCAGCTGGATTTCTTTGGATAAAATGGATTTTTGCTTTTGATAAATTGGATTTCTTGTGGGCCTGCCTGCCTTCACACTCAAAATCCAATGCCTCTCTTATATATATATATATATATATATCCTCTGAATATGACAGAAATTAGCCCAACAACAACCTCAGGCCTGCATTCTATGGTATCTCTACCCAATTTGCATATTCTTATTGTGAGTTTGGGCTGTCACTTAGACCAAATTGAATGGAAGTTGATTTTCAACATAATTTCATAATACAATTATAAAAAACTGGCAATTTATATGGACCAGGGTCCACATAGCATTATGAACTTTGAATCAAAATGACAATACACCGAATTCATACTTATTAAGGTACATAATTTTATGATACAAGACAAGATCATATAAAGTATTAATTAAATGGTTAATAGCAGGGCAGGTCAGGACTCAGGAGGTGATAATAGGTGTTGTTAACATCTATTGTATAAAGACTACAATAAGAAAAAACACACAAGTCTAGAACTACACTAAGACACCAAAATTATTTAGGACGAAATTGACAAAAACCACCATAATCGAGGACCATTTTGGGTATTAACTCTATTGACTAATTCACAAATTACCAATACAAATATTCCATAGAATTAAAGTTGTAAAATGATATACTAGTATATGCAGACTCCTTTCTCAAAAATTGGAAGGTATAATTCAATAATCATCCTCAACTGATAATTCATCAGATCAGATGCAAAAGAGATTCTCAAAGCATTATTCACATAGACAGATTGGACAACCGAATTATTTATATCAACAAATAATCCAACACACAAAACTACTAAAAAAATCACTTTTGAGTTTTAATTTGATATGGTCAGACCCAAATAAATTGTGTATATCTACAACTGCAATATATATATATATATTTAACTAGACTAGACTACAGAATGGGTCTAACTTCTGGAACAAAATCTCAATCCTCCTCTTGCACACAGACAGTGAACATGAATTTGGTCAGTACCAGTGCTTCCTCCAATTCTCCATTAATGGTGAGCATTCATCAGTGCACGATGAACCATGTCGATGAACTCATTGTCCTGCCACATAAAAAGCATACAGATTAAAGAAAAATACAGAAAGTTGATTTCTACACTCAATTTCTACAACTCTAAGTATGTGGTACACATTGTGCATTTAGGGGGTAAGTAAATCAATCAATTTCTACATTTACTCTTCCTTGCCTTGAACTAAACTTCAGGTTTAGGTCCAATTTACACGTAACACGTATTTATAACAGAAATCAGCAACTGTATTTTTTTTGATACTGGCATTCCCACTGCCCTAACATTCTAACAATTAAACAACCAACATCTGGATCAATCAAGTTCTAGTTAAGGTGGCAATGCACCTAGGGCTTTATATAACTTGGAAAGTTTGAGAACTTTTAAGCACTTAGTAAGTGTTAGGACTTAGGAAAGAAGAGCAATCTTCAAGATGCTAAAAACTATTTGGAAAAACAAATGTCCTACGCTTTCCAGCATAGGCATTAAAATACAATTTTTTGCATCAAAATTGCATTGCAAAGAATACAAGAGAAGATGCTAAGGATATCAGGTGAAAGAAATGTCCAACAGTGTCTGAACATAATATTGGCTGCACTGTCATCATAAAATATAAAAATGAATGATTTGATTTATGATACTGATCCAGTTCAAAAGGCAGCACATGGAAGATGGATAGGTTGCTTATTGCTAGGCAAGTTAAAAAGGGAATGACTGACTCTAAATCCAACACTTTCCTTATACTATCCTTGGTATAGTTCACTTCTATCCCAATCAAAGGGGAAAATATGCACTCTAGGCAGAGCCCTACCTAATAGAAGTAGTCTCCTACAAAGGTACCCGAGTTGGTCATTGTTTGGTTTGGTGAATTACTTTCAGCAGTTCATTGAGGGATGTTCTGCATAAACAGCAAAACTCTTGAAGAATAACAAGTTGTAGGAGTGGATAAAGAGGAGCCACAGTGTTTTCAACGGGAGCTTCTGTTAAAAAAAATTACTGTTGATACTCAAAAGTCCTAATAGAGTTGGTTGGGAGGATTTCTCTATTTTTTGCTTGGCCCATTAGTGCTCTTTGATGGCATCATCAAACGCACCAGGCCCATGGTCTGTTGGGCTGTTTTAAATAATCAGGTTTCAATGGCAAGCAGTTATCAGAAGCATTTCTTCCCAAGCGATAGAAATTGGAGACTGGGAGTTCCTATTGGGCTATTGATGCTTGGGCCACTTCAACATAGGAATCTACTAATAATAGAAAAAGATATGATCATATTAGTTCACTGGTAGCTACTTCTTCCCCTTACTCTTAGTCTCTTACTATAAAGCTTAGACTTAGAATTAAAAGTTAACACTTTAATTTTCCTAGTCCACAGCTTCTTACTTGATACTTTAATATGCCTTCAGAATCCTAAGAAGAACAACACAGACAAAGCAGGGAAAAAAGTCAAAAAAGGGACAACAGAGCAACCTCCTCATTAGAACTAGGAACATTAAGTGCCCTAGAACAATGGACTCATGGTGACCAGCCCAGGCCTTTAGGTGGGGCTAAAGGGCAATTTACGCTGTGGAACCGTGTCCACCTTGTAAAGTGGACACGGTTCCAAAACTGTCATAATTGTGAATATAGAGTTCAAAAATCATGAACATAGAGTTCTGTAATTGTGAATATCTAAAAACATAATAAGTGTGGATGAAGGTTATACCCTTTATTTATGTCCGTTTTTTCCGTTAAGTTTTATGATACATTAATGCTATAAATGTTGCACTATACAATATTTTGGACAAACACACCCTTGCCGTTATAACCTCCGTTATCTTTTCCACTATTGCTACCATGCACATGCATCCACCATATATTTTCTTATTTTCAATAATAATAATAATATACACATTATATATTGGGATTATATGTTAGTTATTTCTTAAAATTAAATATTAAATTTATAGAAATGTTTTACATTATCATTATTATTATTAGTATTATTTATAATAATTTAAATATCTAAAATCTAAATAAATTTAAAATTTTAATATAAAATATTAATATTGGGCACCTATTTTTTGCGCATCGCGCATAAGAAATACTAGAAGAGTTTAATAATTGTGAATATGAAGTTCAAAAATATGAACATAGAGTTTTATAATTATGAACACAGGGTTCAGTAATTATGAACATAGAGTTCTGTAATTGTGAGTATAGAGTTCAATAATTGTGAATATGAAGTTCAAAAATTTGAACATAGTGTTTTATAATTATGAACATAGAGTTCAGTAATTATGAACATAGAACCGTGTCCACCTTGCAAGGTGACACGATTCCACAGCATAACAATTGGGACTAAAGCTAGCCACCACCTTGCAAGGTGACACGATTCCACAGCATAACAATTGGGACTAAAGCTAGTCACTTTAGGTGGGATAACAGTCAGGCAGCAGTGATAAACTAGTCCAAAAATGATTATAATCAGACTACTACTTAAAAATATAAATAATGTGGAAAAAAAATTTATATTGTATTAATATATTATTGGACTTGATCTGTCAGCCTAGCTATAAAGTTAGTTACTTGGTTAAACACTTCTATCCGTAAGAGTCCTCTTGAGACCCTTTAATGTAAGGACCAAAAAAACCCAGATTGGATGTCACAACCAGATAAGGAGTTCTAAGATTAGATGCAGTTGAATATTCGCAATTAAAGTTTTCATTCCGTTAATTTAAAAGTAAAGTAAAATGGTGGTTTATGTCTAACTATTGGAATTCTTCTTTCTGATAAGAAATAAAGTCCTACATGCAGGGCAACTACTAAGCTGATGTATCCTTACCTGAACAAGAATCAGAAGGGCCTCACGGACCTTGTCTCTGGTAATTATAGATACAGTATTTGGTATGGGAGTAGCAGTGGGAGTAAGAGATGGAGGGGGTGAGGGTGGAGGAAATGGTTGGAGCAAAGGAGCACCATAAGGGCGTTCTAGAGTCCCAGGAGGCTGAAGTGGAGGAGCAGTTGGCATAGATGAAGGGGAGGGAGGAATTATTAATGGAGAAGAGGAAGGTGGTGGGCCAAAAAACGAAGATGGCTTTACCAAATTTGTTGACCCTTTAGTGCTGCTGTCTTGTTCAGGTGCATCAAAGAGAGGCATAACAGGAGTAGGTATTGAAATAGGAGTTGGAGTCTGAACATGTGCTACAGCAGTAAGAGTGCCATTCTGAGAACGAGAAGGTAGAGGATTTGCAGATAAGACACCAGGATGTCCAGGAACTGCTGCACTAGAAGAACTCCCAATTGTCATTGCAGTCTGCAGAAAATGATTAAACTTAGTAATGATTTCTAGAAGTACATTATCACAAGTAAAAACTATATTCACAAAAAGCAAAAAAAGTGGAGCATAATAAAATCACAAAAGCAACATAAACATGCAGAAGAGACAGTAATGGGTTGCTCAAGGCATAATTTTGGATCTTTGAGCAGAGTCCAGTTTGTCTTCATGGTTGACACATTCAGCCATTCAAAAGACCTTGCATCAAATGAGTAGTTAGAGTGTGCTAAATCAAATTCATGCACAAATGATTTGCTAGGTTTTGGCACAAAAATCTCTTATTGAAAAATACTTCCATGTAGACGTAGAGGCCTGCAACAAACTCTCTTAAAGGGATAAAAACAGAACATCTTGCTAATATATTCAAGACATACAGAAAAGTCAATTGCAGATTACTTGAGTTCTATAGACAACTAAAATTGGATTCATACATCCGTCCTGAGAAGATGAGAAGATTATGCTAGTGGCAGAAAAGAAAAAAAATAAATTGAAAATGGGCATGGTATGAGTCAGATGAAGAAATAATCAACACATTGCAACCAATAGATGCAAAAATATAAATAAATTAGAGTTCTTGTTAAATGTAAAATGAATATAGAAAACTCAAAAACTTTCCAAATATTCACATAAAACATGAGAGCAAGGAATTGTAAAAGTTACATAAATATGTGTTGCTCAATGCTTTTGGTTGGTTTGTGGAGCCTTACACACTGATTCAGACTTTTTTAAAACAAAGATAAATGCAGGAGCTTATAACTCAAAGATCATTTAGTGTACATAATAGTATCTTACACTGAAAAAGTTCACAAAGGAATGGTCATCAGGAACATCTCTGACATTAGTGGTGGTGGTTGTTGATGGCTCCAAGGGACCATCAATTACCGCCATGGTTGGAACTGCTTCCAGCTCTTCAAATTCACTGCATTAAAATGACAACTAAAGTGAAACATTCTTCCCACCAAAGACAGCAGGGGACTCTTTGTTAAACATTGCTCTAAATTCACAACTGGATCTTTAATCAAATGCTTTCAAGTAATAACTGTTATAAACTAAGATTGGGCTAGGATCACTCAATTGGGCTATAATGCACATGGGCTAAACCACACTAAAAGATTGAATCCAACCAATTAGTTAGTCTAACTCATGGCCTTATAAACCCATGATCTCTCTTATTTTATCAATGTGGACTCTTAACACTCCCCCTCAAGTGGACAACCAGGCCATTTTTTAATCTAACCGGTTGACCACTTTGAAATTGGACTGGACCCTCCTCGGAAACGAAAGCTCTGAACACCACCAAAGTGGACCGAACAAGTGGGCTTACGAAAGCTTGGACGCCACCAATACCCATAACCGGGTGAACCCAAATTGGATCAAACAGGCTCTGATACCATGTTATAATCTAAGATTGGGCCAGGATCACTCAATTAGGCTATAATGCACATGGGCCAAACAACACTAAAAGATTGAATCCAAACAATTAGCTAGTCTAACTCATGGCCTTATAAACTCATTACTCATGTTCTCTCTTATTTTATCAATGTGGGACCGTTAACAATTAACTAATAAATGGAGCACAATCAATCATACACTTAATTTTTCCAATATATATCAATCACACCGATTAATATATACATGGAAAACCCTAAAGCAAGAGAACATGAGACCAAATGACAGGATAGACAATGCTACTATGCTAGCAATGGTTATGGTGGAATTGGTGTTGACCACATGAGAATCCTTCAGACAATGTAACTAATGCTATGCTTGGAAAATATGTGGAAAAAAATAAAATCAGCATGTAATTTAAGTCCACCAAAAACATAATTCCAGAAGAATTTATGATGGTGGAAAAGAAACTACACCCAAATTTATGATGGTGGAGAAGAAACTACACCATCACTGCTGCATAACATCAAAGGTAAACCAAGGAGAGAGGGACAAGGTAGAGAAGAAATTGGGGTTTGGAAGAGAGTGGTAAGAGGTAGGCACACCATAGAAGGCTAGAGACAGTGGGGAATTAAGGAGATCAGGAGGGGGGGGGGGGGGGGGGGGGGGGGCAGAGGGCACGCCACTATATGTCACATATGCAGCAATAAATAGACTCAAGAATCATCTTCATCCTGTGAAGATGCAATGGAGTTCTGGAAGATGTGTTTGTGGAAGACAGTGAAGGGGCTACTAAGCTACTTTTGAGCTGCAAATATGTTGCACATATAATACAATTAAAAGAGTTACAGAGAAAGTGCCTTCAAGTGGAATGACAAGAAACAGCTTAGATTTGAAAGGGCTAGGTACATCAGGTGTAGATAGTTGAGGACTTGAGGCACTTTGTTTTAAGCATAGAGATAATTTAGAAGAGATCTTGGAGGATTTCTTGAACATCTTAAGCTGTGACACTCCCAAATTATGCAAGCCTGATGTAGATTCATTGTTTGCACTCTGTACCAACTTGGGCAGTTTTTGTGAATAATACATTACTCATCAATTACCCACCAATGTTTCCCATCTCAACTGATCCCAAGTCCAGAAAAAGGAGGAGAAAGGTTGCTGTCGCTGGGCAATAAGCACCAACATTTGTCAAATGTCATGACAAAGATCTTGAATATCACAATGGACAACTAGAATACATTTAGCCTACCCCAACAATATTGGGATTAACACTTTGTTGAGTTTTGTAATAAATTTAGTTATCAAGAAAGAGAGAAAAGAATGCCAGTGTTTAGAAGAATAATACATACTTATTACGGAGTATATAATAATAACAGAGAATACTGACTTTTGAAGAGTTACTTGTTCACTAAATGGAAAATTTTCCATATTTCCAAAGAAACAAAGAATGAAAGTAGAAACTGAGTTTGGTGTTCATTCTCCAAATTGAAAAAAATAATAATAATAAATAAAAAAATCAATCAATCAATTTTTCCAATTTGTTAACAAAGTTGGAAAACACTCCAAATGTGTTTTCCAAATGGAGAACACAGGTGAACAATGCTCACAAATGAGCACTGTTCACCCCTTTCACCCCCAATTTTCACAGCATTGAGAAGACTCAGATGGCTTTGCTGGAGTCAAAAATGCAGGAGATGGAGAGGAAAATTTGGACTGAGATGGAGAAGTCAGAGTCCGTGTCCCAAATGATGGAGACTCACTTTTGTTGAGCAAGTAAAGAAGAAGGTCACCAAGGATAGAAAAGCAGAGACTTGTTGCTGATTTGATGATGGAGAAGCTGAAGGGGGAACGGGGATTTGCCTTACCATATTTTATTTGTTGAATAATGGCACATCAGTAAGTAATGAATGAATCTAATTTGTTTGGAAATGATGCTGTGGAAGCATTGTAGAAGTTGAAAGGTCTTTCTAATTGGGAAACAGACAGCTCTAGCTCTACTTTACTGATATGGATGGAGACAGTGGCAAAATTATGATGAAAGAGACATTTATAGCCGAAAATGGTTTAAGCCTAAAATGGACCATTTTCCATTCAGAGAATTTGGAAGATGAAAAATGAGAAGAAAATAAAATGGTAGAAAAATAGAAAATGAAAATTGGAAATATTATCTCATATTGAACAGGCCACAAGGTTTAACATCCTTTCAGTATTACCTCTTGACTGGAGGTACTTTTGACTTTGAAGGCACCTTTGAATACGCATTCAGTATCCTGATAACAATAAAAACATCAAAAGTTCCAATTAGCCTCACATGTTAAAGTATCCAAGAATTTAGATAGAGAGAGGTATTAGCATTGTGGCAAATTGAAAATATCCAGCTGCTCCAGCATCAAAATGCTATAAATCCAATATCAAACAGGACTAATCAAGTAATACATCAACTCCACTGTGCCTCAACTATACACAATGGTTCTCCATCAAGGAAGACTATAAAAGGCATTTTTACATTCAAACACAATCTATACAACATAGTTCATTATGACAAATCCTGAGTACCAATTCATTATCTGACAGTGACTTCTAACTGAGACAATGAAACATTATTTAAAGAACCCAGCAAAGCTCAAGTGGTATCAGTCCAAACTACAAGTCTACAAGCAATAAGTTGAAAATTACTACATCATAATGAAAATTTTATAATATGATATTATCACTTTTCTAAATCATTAAGAAAGCACAGTCAGTCTCTAGAAAATTATAATTCACAAAGCTGTTGAAAAAATTTAGAACCATCACATTACTTGCTTCAGAGCATTTTCACTTGCATAAGGTGCTTTGTGCAAATTTCAAAGAAAATTTCTCTTTCAACTCTTAAATGCAAAAACTACCTGCTAAATAGATTTGCAACCTCCTCACATTCACGTGCATTGTAAAACCATATTCCATTAACTTCCTGGGCAGCATTCCGATACAGTAAATATGGAACCTGGATCTCATACTCAAAATCTCCCAAGAGATCCTCCACCAAGTTATCTGCTTATCATGAATGAACTTATACTTAAAATTAGAAAGATACATAGAATGCATAATCATATGAATTTGCATGTACCAACATGTCTTTTATTTGCATCTTCCAAAACAAAAGAAAAAGAGGTTGATTTATACAAATATAAACATAATTGTACAAACTATCATGTATCTTTTCTACATAGACATTAGAACATATGCACTCATATTTAGTTTGCACCACAGGATAAAATAAAAGATTATAATTCGACCCAAATTCCAAAGATAGAACTGAAAATGATCTTCTCAGAGTGACTACTTAAGGATACATTCAAAAATGGCTGAGAAGACGAATTCCAAATGGAAGTAAACCTTAAAAGACAACTAACCTGCATTTCTGCGATTCATTACAATGAATTGGAACCTAGGTTGAGAAGTCCTGCAATTCCCACCCATAATTCTAATCAATACTTAGTAAAGAACATACAAAAGCACAGTTACTATTACTGTAATGGAAATGGTACACACATAATCATAATTAATAGTTCATAATGCTCAATTATTTTACAGTTCACCGGGATATGAAAAACCACCTACTGATATGTCCACCAAAAAAACAAAATCATAAAACCTCTAGAGTTCTTCAGTCCAAAGACAAATTTCCTACAAAACCCACCTCTTAACAACGAAGAGAGATCCTTCAACATCCTTTCGACTCTGAAAAAATATTTTTAAAAGTCAAATTTACAGTACCCAAAAAACAAAAAATCCTCACACAAATATGCGTATACTGAACACATCTGTATATACCCATTGGCTCGTATCAATGTTAAATTCATAGAAGGTGACGTGAGCGGCGGTGATGAGAATTTCCTCAATGTAGGGATCGATTCGTTGCAGAACGGTGAGGTTGAGCTGCTTCGTGCTGTTCTGATCAAGATTTGGCATCAATTTCCCGCTTTGCGCCATGTTGTTTGTGCTTTCTCCCCGACTCTTCGAGAGCTATAAACCCTAGCAATGGCGGTCAAATGTTGCACGCGCTCTCCCCCTATCAGTGAATGGAATTTTATCGTAAAAAATTAAAAATAACTTGCCTTTTTAATCTTACTCTGTATATATATATATTTATAAATATATATATAGGTGTGGGCGATGACAGACGGAAGAGATGAACAGGGGAGAGACACGTATGCTCTAGCAAAGCATTTGTTTTTTTTTTTTTTGAAGAAAGCAAAGCATTTGTTCTTCTCTCTTCTTTTCTAATCCCTATAGCCTATACATGATCATAACCTTTATTAAAGTTATTACTAGTTTTTACGAGTATTGCACGAATGGGATAATGCTTAATAATTACATTTAATTAATATTTCAAAGTATATTAATGCAAGATATATAAAAGATAGTTATACATAAATATTTGAATGTTGAATTTTTTTATTTAATTCAAAGTATATAAATGTAAGATAATATATGAGAAATGGATTATAATTAGAGTTGTTAATGCGGGTTGACGGGGCGGGGCCCGCCAAAGCCCGCCTTGTGGCGGGACGGGCTAAAAAGCCCGCCAAGAATACGGGCCTAGGTAGGGGCAGCCCCTTAGGCCCGCAGGCCCCGCCAAAGCCCGCCTATTTTTTTTTATTTTTTATTTTATATCATGTGTGATGTGTCCCTAAAATCTAAACTCTAATATGACTATGTTAATAACTTAATTGCTATCTACTTAAAACACTTATTCATAAGAAAATAACATAAATTCGTTCATCACAACATGACAACAATGACACCAATAGGGGTAAGTATAATTACCAAAAAATCGATAACCGATAATCGAACTGATCGATAATTTTGGTTAACGGTTATAAGACAAAAAAATTCGATTATTCGGCTATTCAGTTATTTATCAGTTATGAAGGTGTAATAACTGCGGTCACCGAATAACCGACACTATTATTTATATTATTATATTATACATATTATATATTATATATATATTAATTTTAATTATATATATATATATATATATATATATATATATATATATATATATATATATATAATTATAATAATAATAATAATAATAATAATAATAATAATAATAATAAAAGGTGGGCTGGCGGGCCCGCCAAGCCCGCGGGCTAGGCGGAGCGGGCAAAAAACCCGTTTTTAAAACGGGCTTAAAAAACATGAGCCCACCCCGCCTTTTTGGCGGGCGGGGCGGGAAAGCCCGGCGGGCTAAGCTCATTTTGACGGCTCTAATTATAATTGTCACTAAAATAAATGTTTACAATTTTGTAATAATGGTAGTTTAAATACTTAGTCTAAAAATAGTTTACATAAATACTACTTTTGGTTAAAATTTCTCTAAGTCTTCTTAATTCTCTTTTGAGTAGCATTGTCATTGTCTTCATCTTCTGTATTTGTCTTCTTTTTTTTTTATTGTTAGTGTGTCATGTGCAATTGAGTTACTAGTGGTAACATAGAGAGCAACGTCATACAATGAGATTATGGTGTAATAAATAATATAAATATCAAAATATTTGTGTAATTGTAATTTTTTGGAAAAGATGTAAATTAATTAGGGATGGTAATTTGGTTCTCAGTTCTCACGCACCAAACTTTCTCACAATTCTTACATGGTGTTTGGTTGGAATGAATGAATTAGGAAAAAATGAATTGTAATTCTGGGAGAAAAAATAATGTTGAAATTCAAATTACAGTGTTCAGTAGGCAGGAATATAATGGTTGATAATTGAAAAGGAAGAAGTGAATAAAAATTAAAATAGCCTTATATAATAATCTATCTATACTATTATTAAAAACAAAATCATTCTTTCTTGCGTTTTCGCCCAAACACTCCCGACCAAACAATAGAAAAAGAAAAATAAAAAAAAATGATTAATATTAAATACTAATCAGTAAAAAAGTTAGCAAGTAAAAAAGAAAAAAAAAATCCCTAATTCACTTATTAATACTAATAATGTTAATAGTAAAAAAAGAGAAAAATTGACAAAGAAACGGAATTCACTTAATAATAATAAAAATAAGGTTACCCGTAAAATAAAAATAAAAAATCCTACCAAAAATTACTAATTAATAAGGATATGAAATTAGCTTAATAATAATAAGGACCCGAAATTCAATGCAACTACAGAACATAGCTACTAAGGCGATTTTTTACACATACGACTATTTTTGAAGTGTCGTGTAAGTGACTGACGTTGTAAATAAATATTTTCTACGATGATTTTTAGAATCACCGTGTATGTTAACTATATACAGCGGTTAAAAAACCAGCGTATGAAGTATTTAAAATTTTTTTATATGTATAAATTTACTGTTTGTAAATCTCCCATATAAAATAAAATAATAAGTTGCTTAATTGCATCAAAATGCATACAATAATTCAACATTCAGAAGGAATCAAGTATGGGCAATTTGATCAATCATGGTATGGGGTAAGCAATTATGGAGAACATAACTCTCGCACATGTAACACAAGGGAACTTAAACAACCACCATGAAAGGAATTGACAATTTAGATCAATCAAATCAATTTCAAAAAGTCAACACAATTTATGTTCACAATCTAAAAAAAAAAGTCAACTGCTACTTCTTCAATCTAACAATGGTGGTTTTAAATGCAAAGTCAAATTATTAAACCAAATGTAGACAATTTTCATCACAACAAGCTTAGAAACAATGTAACAATGCAACTCTACAATCAATTTCTCATCAACAAATGAATATTAGTAAACCCAATCAAAAATTCCCAAAATTAGAAACAAAGGTTCATGCAAGAATTTCAAATTCATAAAGGCAAATTTCATTCCATAGAAACATTCTCTCATGCAGAACTAGCCATCATTCATCAAATTCGAACAACAAAATCATGTAGACTAGCATTCATGATATTAAAGAGAGAAAAGTTTAAAGAACAGATTAATGGAAATTAAGAGTTGAAGCTTTTACCTCTTGGATAGAGATTCCTACAAAGATTGATCCTTGGAAGCTCTTTAAGATGGACGAAAGTGGCAAAAGAGAATATACCTTTTGTGGGAAGAGGGTTTCTTGATTGGTGTGGGAGAATAGAATGAGGAAGTGAGGGTCTAGAAGGGTTTAATTTCCGAACCCTGCATTTGTGCTCACAACGAACTGGACAACGTGCATTGTCGGGTTCGTTGGCCCTTCACTTATTGCACAACGCGCGTTATGGATTTCATGGATGTTACTGGAAATTTCACCTCATTTTCCTCCTTTTTGCAACGTGCATTGTAGCTTTGTTAAGCCCTTCGTTGTCCCCACAATGTTCGTTGTTGGGTGCGTTGAACTCTTTGGAATGCCACAACGAAATTGGCAACGCGCATTGTGGTGTCTCCTGCCTCTCGTTGATCTTTCTGGATTTCCTCAACGCAACTCACAACGTGCGTTATGATGTGCGTTGAAGCCTCTGTTTTCACACTAGACTTTGCTTTGTCTCGTTTGATGCTTCCTTAGCGATTCACCTACAATGTTAGCTCTAAAAGTACCAAACAAAAACAACTACAAACATAAAGAAAGTGTGCAAAATAAAAGAAAATCATTTATTACTTGGTTGCCTCCCAAGAAGCGCCACGTTTATCGTCTTAGGCTAGACGAACACGTGGGTTACACTTGGAAACACACACGAAGGAGAACCGAACCATGTGTCCCGTTCACCTTAGATTCGAGAAATGCCGCAATATCGCGGGCATTCTCAAATGTAATCACAAGAAAAAGGCGCACAATAACATCTAAGAACAAGTAGGGTAACACATAAGGAATTACGCTCAAATCCCTAAGTATGTAGTGCCCTTCTTCATTTGCCTCTCTTTCATTTCCAACCTTGATATTTTCCATCCTCCCAACACCTTTGTCAACAAACATCCTAAGGCTCTTATCATTTTCTAACCCCTCATTCATTTCCATACTTTGCTTTCTAATCTCACCACCAATTTGTTCCTTTTCGATATTCATTCTAAACATTGTATCCTTAACTTCAAAATCCAAGCTCTCCTCACCCCAATCTAAGTCTTCACAATCATAATATTCATTCAAGGAGTAGAAAGAAATGTTGTCACAATCTCCTATTGTACCCATAGAGTCGGTGTCACTAAAATTTACGAAATTTCCCCCCAAAACGTCGAAAGAAACATCAATGAAAGGATCAATAGAATCATCTCAGGGTTTATATTCCCACGGGGCACAAGTAGAGTCAATGCAACATTTAACATCTAGATTTCCAAGTTCAATGACACAAGAAGGTTTAATGGCCCGTTTGGTTCACGGAATAGGCCGGGAATGGCATAACATTCCCAGTAATAGGCCTATTCCGTTGTTTGGTAACCATTTCTATTACCAGGAATACTATTCCTGGTAATAGCCTATTACCTCAAATAAGGTAATAGCTATTACTAGGGCCCCCCCGGTATTAGCCTATTACTGAACGCTTAGGAATAGATTTTAGAATCTATTTCCTTTTTTACCCTTTCTTTAACCTAATTTTATTATCCTATTTCACCAACGGTCACCGTCGCCCCCACCACTGCCACCGCCACCACCACCACTACCACCCCAGCACCACCACTACCACCACCGCCACCACCACCATCACCACCACCGCCACCACCATTGCCGCCGCCACCACTAGAACCACCACCCAGCAGCACCACCGCCACCACCACCACCACCACCGCCACAACCGTCGCCGCCCCCCACCACCACTGCCACAACCGTCATCGTCAACCGTCACCGTCACCACCACCACCGTCGCCCCCACCACTGCCACCGCCACCACCACCACTACCACCCCAGCACCACCACTACCACCGCCACCACCACCATCACCACCACCGCCACCACCATTGCCGTCGCCGCCACCACCACCACCGCCACCAGAACCACCACCCAGCAGCACCACCGCCACCACCGCCAAAACCATCGCCGCCCCCACCACCACTGCCACAACCGTCATCGTCAATCGTCAACCGTCACCGTCACCACCACCACCGTCGCCCCCACCACTGCCACCGCCACCACCACCACTACCACCCCAACACCACCACCACCACCGCCACCACCACTATCACCACCACCGTCGCCACCATCGCCACCATCACATATTTTTATAAGGGTATTTATGTCTTTTAAAACATATTTCATTTCTATTCCTTAAATCAACCAAACACTGTAATATAATTCATAAAGTCTATTCCTTCCGCGAACCAAACAATAGAATACAATTCCTTTTCTATTCCTTGCCTATTCTATTCCTTATGGAATATCATTCCTATTACCTCAAAATTCATTCCGTGAACCAAACGTGCAGTAAAAGAATTACCACACATATTGTCATTACTCGGCTCATTATCTTCCCATACTACCTTGACACTTTCGTCATCTTCACTAGCTTCATCCGCTCCTTGTAATTTTTCCAATTCGTAGAGCGGGACCTCTTCAAGCATCAGAGAGTCATCAAACAAAGGATGATCCTCGGCCTGCGGTGTTGAAATACTCCTTGAAACGTAAGCTTGGGCCTCCATTTTGATATTTGCGGTGAGCTTCGTCATCAATTGGTGAATAGTACCCTCAAGTTGTTGCAATGGTTGCAACATAGCATTCTTCAAAAGGGCTAACTCTTCCCTTAGTTCTTTTTTTTTTATCCTGGCCTTAAGAGTTAGCAATTGGTCCTTTTCCTCAAGTATAATCTCATGCCACTTGCCCTCGAGGTCTTCAAGCCCATTATGACGGTATGGTGGATTTTCTTGAGGTGGGTAAACATGTTGGGGTTCAAATTGATATGGTAGTGGTGGTAAATGGTGAAATGGATATGGTGAATTTGGTAAGTGGTAGTGGTATGGATAGTATGGTAAATGGTGGTATAGATAAGGGTTGTAAGGTAGGTGTTGTTCACAAGTGTATGTTGGGAATTGGTTCGATGATACGGCTTTACCAAGTGGATATCCATAAGGATAAGAATCCTTAGACATTGGTGAGCTTGTTTGAAATATGTTTGAAAAAACTCCTGCACAAAAAGCCTCACCACACAAGTATACTTGCAAGTAAAAGTAGTTGCAAGGTGAGCAAATATGTATACAAAGGATTGGTGCCCACTTCCAAGCAAGTAATCAAGCAAGACAATGTACAAAAACAAGAAAAACAACAAAAATAAAATAGATTCACGAGGTATAACAAATGAACACAATGGATAACAAGTAACGAAAACGGACTACCTAGAACTCCTATTGATACATTCCTAGATTGTCATAGTGAACACACTTCACTTAGAACCTATTGTCATCCCCAACAACGTCGCCATTTTGATAAGTCGTAGTTTTGTGGGATGGAATTATGGTGTGTGAAAGAGTGTAAACGGAAGCGTGAAACTCTCGAGTATTGAACTCAAGGATGGTCGTTCGGAGCAAGCAAAGTGCAAGACAATCTTTTGTCTCAATGCATCAATAAGGTGAGCTAGGTGCAAGATAGAAGATGGTGTGGGAACAAGTGTGTACAAGCAAGGAAAACGAGGAAAATAAAGGAAAACAAACAAATAGGGAAAATGGGGATTTGGATGGAAATGATTTGTGATCATGCATTCATTGGTCTTCAACTTGGGACAAAAGATGATGCAAAGCTTGCCTAACCTAAGGGAGAACCAAGGCACCAACATTAGGTTGCGTCAAATCTAAACTCTCATTCCCTACGTCGGGTGAGGTATTTTATCAAACACTTGGCGGGTGGTCTACCGTATCCTCCCCAAACTACTAGAGATTGTAAGCGTAAGACTAAGGATAAGGGCAATTTGTTGCTCCTTTCTCACTCACACACTCCTCTCTCATTGGGATCCTACAATGGAGAGAGTATCTATATGCACACCTCTACAACATAGGCATTCAAAGGCAATCCATACATCAAGTCTCACCATCTAATTTATACAAAACATGAATACATAATCAAAAAATCAAATCAAATCCAAATCCTAGAAATCTAAACACTCATCATCATCAAAAGGGTTGCAAACACAAATTAGATAAGAATTAATAAGCAAGGAAGAGAGGTTACCCAAATCTTCAATCTATTGTGTAAGCATCCATTGAGAATTGAAGAACAATGAGTGTAGATCTTCAAGGAAATGTAAATCTAACCTAACCTTAGTCTAAGATATCTGATTTCTAAAGAGAGAAAAATGAAAATGAGATAGAAGGTAGAAGATCCCCTCAAGCCCTTGCTTATATCCTGAAAATCCTTTAAGTGATTTTGTTACTAACTTCACCACGAGCGTTGTCGACCTTGTTGAACTTTATGTAATTTTTTCCCTTCTTGATAGTTGTGGCCCTTGAAAATGCCGAACCATAGCCACTTGAATCACCCCATTTGGACACTCCTAGCTCAAGATATGATCATTTTACCGAACTGTCGCCAGAATGCCCTAAAAATGACAATGTTTTGCTATTTTCTACAAAGGCAAACATAATTAGTCCTTAATCCTAAATTCTATCGAATTAAGTTATTTAAGCATGAATTAGGCATAAAGAACTTCAATTATAGCACAAAAATGTCTCCTAAATACCCTATAAAACATAGCATTTTTGGCACTTCATGAGCCAAGTTAACATTGAGCTATCTTGAGAAATATCTTTGGCATTTAAATGATCATTGCTTTGATTGTGAGCTTGCTTGAGGACAAACAAGAAGTAAAGTGTGGAAAGTTTGATAAGTTCCAAAGACACTTAGGTTTAAGGTCTATTAGGGGTGTGATTTGAGCTTAATTATGATCCTTTGTGTATCATTTTAAGTCATTTAAGTTATGCTGTGTATGATGCTTTAAATTACCATCGCGCTTTGTGTTTTTATGAATTGTAGGAAGGTTTGAGCTAAAAGGAGGCATGACGGCACACTCCGGAGCAAAGCGAGACAATGAAACAAGCCGGAGCCAAGCCGAGAAGAAGCAACGCACGCTGCACGTGCGCTGAGAAGAAACAGAAAGTTCAACGCACAGGCAACGTGCGTTGGATGCTCACGTGTAACGGGCAAGTGACTAGCCAACACACGTTGGCCGGACGTTGGGCGCACGCTGGAACGTCGCTTATGGAAGGAAGCTATTTAAGTGATTCAATTTGACTAGAATAGGGAGTTTTAGAGTTAAAGAGTTCTTTTAGACATTAGATTTCAGATTTTAGAGTGAGAAACATTTCTATTCCTAGCTCTACCTTCTCTTTAGCTTAGTGAAGATCAATTGAAGGAGGAGATTGACACTCTTCAAATTCAAGAGATCAACAATTGTATTTCGATTTGGTAAACTCTTTACTTTAGGATTTCAATTGATTGTTTGATTTCATACTTGCAATTTCATTTTCTTATGACTATATGTGGCTAGTTTAGCTAGGGTTTGAATTGTGATGTTTTGATTCATGATGCCAATGTGACTTAATTCTTAGATTATGAGTTGAATTATGCTATTCTTTGGGAATCTAGTTGTTGTGGATTGATTTGTATTGCATCCTAGGAGCTAGGCCACCTCTTAGGGTTGTGTTAAGTGTGAAGCTTCTATCCTTGACATTTCCTATCCTACTAATCTGGGTTAGGAAGGATTTGTAGGCAAGGTGTTCGAGGAAAGGTCATAGAGACTTTAAGAGCCCTAAAGAGAGTTCTATTGTCTACTATGACAAGTCTTAGTAGTTGAAGAACGAAAGGACATAAGTACATTCCCTAGATTCGAACATAGACACATTCACACACCTATGGCTAATGATCCTAAATGCATCGTGAACAAAACTAACAATTCAACCCTACTTTTATATTCCCTTGTTTAATTGCTTTAATTGTTTGTTTGTTTGTTACTACGACTATGACATATTGCGTGACACAAACTCAAATGCACACAAAATCTATTTCTTTGAATTAACAACATGAGGCTTCTCCAAGTTGCCATCCGGAGAGAACGATAAGATCCGAGATTCATCCCACACTTGTTTGAGCAACGTTGAGAAACGGAGAAAGCGTTGAGCGTCATAAACACTCTGGAGGCAAATCACATTTCGGGGTAGAAAAGGATGAATGGTGACCCAAAATGTCATGACGATTTGCTTGCATGACATTATGTTTACATTCGTATATGCTGGTTGGGAAGGAAGTGAGAATGATTCTCGCATATTCTTATATGCAATTTCAAAGCCTGAAAGTGGGTTTCCCATGGCACCCGAAGGTAATTAAGAGTATTCGGATAACTTATTTAAATGATTTAACTTAGCCTATTCATTAAATTTCACAAATTAATAAGTTAGTACTTCTTAGGTGTGGTCTTTTTCTCAAACTAATAGGTTATTACTACGTTGTTGATGGTGGTTTCCCAAATGTAACTAGTTTTTTTGGCACCATATACCGCGGGGAGCACTATCACTTGAATGAGTTTCGTGGCCAAGGACAAATACGAAATAAGCAAGCCCTATTTAATTATCGACACTCATCATTGCGGAATGTGATTGAGAGATGTTTTGGACTTTTAAAGGCGAGATTTTCAATTCTAAAGTCCATTAATGGCTACCCATTGATTAGACAAAGACAATCCCTATTGCATGTTGTGCATTACACAATTTCATACGGTTGGAAGATATGGATGATCAATTAGGTATGATGTACGGAACGCAAAACATGATTTTGGATGATGATGGTGGAAGTACTAGTGGAGGTGAAAATGATACAATACAATTAGATATGAGTCAACAACATAAAATGCTACAACTGCATGAGGACATTGCAAATGCACTCTGGGCAAGTTATAATCATTGATGATGTACTCAATTTAGTATATGGTATATAATTAGTTTAGTAAGTGGAGACTGGATTCTAAAAATAAGTACTCGTAAACAAGTTTTCAAAACTAAAAAATTGAAAACAAATAACAATAAATAGAAAATTAGAGAACGTTAATAAATGTGATAGACTGTTTCGATAGTAAATGTGAAAACTAAAAATTGTTTTAGTTTTGGTTTAATTCGACTCATATTTAATTATACTAGTTTTTTTTACGCGCTTTGCGCGAATGAGATAATGCCCAATGATTATTTTTAAATAAGTATTTCAAATATATCAATGTAATATTATATATGAGATGTTTACGCATAGGTAAATAAACGTTGAATTTGTTTTTTTAAATCGGTAATTTAAAGTATATAAATTCAAGATAATATGTGAGAGATTGATTATAATTGTCACTAAAATAAATGTTTGCACCTTTGTAAAAACTCTAGTCTAAATACTTAGTCTTAAAGTGATAATCTAAATAAATACTACTTTTGGTTTAAATTTCTATAATTCTTCTTAATTCTCTGTCATTGTTTTCATCTTCAGTACATGTCTTTTTTATTTTTATTTATTTATTTATTTTATTGATAGTGTGTCATATGCAATTAGGTTATTGATGGCAACATAGATGGATTCATCATGCAATGAGATTATGGTGTATGAAGTTTTAGATTTACCTTTCTATGTATATGACTGAGATTTTAGTTGTAATATGAACTCTTTATCTTACAAACACCTATTGATATTTAGTAGTAGTAGTTTTTCCTCTACATGTTTCATGTGTTGTGAGATGTGTGTTGTAGGTTATCATGTGAAAGTATTGAACAAAATATTAATATTTATTATATTTGTATAAAATACTTGGTAAATAATCAAAAGAAGATTAATTAAACGTAAAAAAAAAAAAAACTTAACCTAATTTTTTTTATAAAAAAAAATAATTCAAGAAAATCAAATGATTTTTAAAGTTCCGGATTTAAAATCTTCAATACTCAACTTTGAATGCTATGTATTTAGTCGGGCTAATTATTTGACCAAAGTTTATGTTAAATTTATATTATATATATATTTTTTTTAATACATTTTAACATATTCATAATATATGTTTAACAATTATGCCAATTCTAATTGAGTTGGAGTTCGAACTTGAGACCTTTCATATATAAATTAATGAGTATGTTAGAAATAATAAATAGTTAACGAAATATTTCGTTACTAAAATTTATACTAACGGAACTTAGGGTTATAATATAATAGAGGGTAAATAAGGGAAATCATTAAAAATACTAAAATCAAAATAATATGAACTATTCATTTTAAGAAACAACTACTACCGACATTTTTTTTTTGTTCAATTTAAGGGCCTAACATTATTGACTCTATTTGTAGATTTATATATGTAGATATAGATTTGTAGATTTATAGATGTAAATATAGATTTGTAGATGTAGATATTAATAAATATAAATATGATAACTCTAAATTAAATAAAGTGAAATAAAAAACTTGAACTTTATAACTATTATAAATAAGTTATAAATTTGAACCCAAACTTAAAACAATATTTTTTTTTTAAAAAAAAATTATGTATTTATTTGTGTTATACTCCGTAATAAGTTACAAATTAAAATTTATATATTTACATATTTTATAGAATTATTATTAATCTTTGGAACAATTATAAATTTTGATTTTAATAATAATAATTAACGTTATTAAAATACTTATTATTTTATAAAGCATAGAGCATAATAATATGTATATATATATTTTTGGCTTTATTTATAATTAGGGACTAGCCAAATGGTTTGCTTCACTCAACATGGGTGGGGATCAAACCCCCAACCTCATGCTTAAGGGACAAAGTGCGGAACCACCACACCAACAATAATATATTAATATTCATGTTTGTTTGTTAAAATAAATTAAACAAAAAGAACTACATTTTTTTACTTTTAAACAAATAAAAAATATTATTTTATGACTTTCAACTTAAAAATAATAAAATTTCAAAAAATATATTTTTCATATTTTTTAAATCGACAATTTTATAATTGGAGGGCATATTCAATAATAATAATAATAATAATAATAATAATAATAATTATTATTATTATTATTATTATTATTATTATTATTATTATTATTATTATTATTATTATCCTTTAAAGTAGGTTTTAGTAACTATGGAAATTCAAGCTTTCATGAGAATTTAAAAAGTGAAGAACTTATTTAATATTTGTGTAATATTTAACTTATGAAAGTCGAATTTAACTTCATAGTATAAATGAAAGTAAATCCCACAAAGGAAATATGGTTATTTTCTACGGTTGACTGACAAATTTATTTAAATACATATTTATCATTTTTTATGTTGTGTTAAAAGTCTTTTATAAATATAAATATTTGTCTCTTCCACCATTATGAAATATGTTGGAACCGTTGGTAGGAAAAACAAAGAGGGAAGAATAGATGAAGAAATTGGCTAGTGTTTGGTGTTGGATTTTTGCAAGAGTCAAGTGATAACTCTTTCCTTAAAACCTTATTTGCCACCTCCCAAAGATGCTAGGAGTGTTGTGGCCTAGGCTTCCCAGGATAAAACTTGCTATTCAAACAAAGAAAGAGCTTGAAATCTCGTCTAGTTGGAATTTGATTTGCCCCCCACCCCCCGCGTGCGCGAGAGAGCCTCTATGCTATACAATTCTACAAGTTTCAAAAGAACTTTTGTATATAAGGGGGGAAAATCTTCATTTCAAAGTAATGTCGGACAAAAGCCACTTTTTCCCTTCATTTTCCAACTCAAATGGGTTTACTTTGAGAATCAATATCTCATTCACCCATTATCCGTTTTGAGCGTATAATATATCGATCTTTTCGTCTCACTACGAAGAACCCGAATCCACTTTGACCAGACCTAAATCGAAAGTGGACCCCACTGATAATTGTACCACAAAATAGTCACTTAACATGCCATTTTAAGCTATTTTTTCCAACAAAATATCACAATACATTTTATCAAATAAATTTATCTTCTTCAACGCTTTTTATATACTTATTGTTTTATATATTTTAAATATTCATATTGCAGACTAAAATTCTTGACATATAATTTATTAATTTACTAGTGACATTCAGTTATTCTTTATGTTTTTCAATGTTGGTATATAACAATGATAATGAAAATACCTAACAGGTTAATTAAATTTTCTTACAAAATTACCAGGACTATGTGGTCCAATGGTACCCGGTTGGACTTCCATTTGGAAGGTTGTAAGTTCGAGCCTCAGTGGAGGCGTTATTAGCTAACAGATACTCTAGTAGCATTCAAAAAAAAAAATTTTTTTTCTTACAAAATTATTATTTTTATTAAATATATTTTTTGAAAATATTTTTTCATCGGTTAATAAAATCATTTGTTGGAAAAATGTGCAAAATAAGCCATCTCATTTTTGTGCTGAAAATGGAAATACTTAAGAGCATAAATTGATGCAAATGGATTCAACAAAAAATCAACAGTGAAACTAAAACTCGACGAGGAACAAAGACTGCAAAGAGATGCCCGGTGTAGCAACAGGACTATAGGAGTTGGAAGTCTGAGATCCTGCCGGAAATTCTTCTTCGCCGGAGTTTCACTACGAGTTACGCTTTCCGGAGGATAGATGGATATACTGTTCGCTCAGATCCAAGCTGACCTCCGGTCTAATGACGCCCTCCGGCAATCTGGAGCTCTTCTTCAAGCCCTACAGCAATCGGCGGCCGGTCGTGATATCTCCATCATTGCAAAATCCGCCGTGGAGGAGATCGTGGCCGCTCCTGCCTCTGCCATTTCTAAGAAACTCGCTTTCGACCTGATCAGATCAACTCGCCTCACCGCCGACTTATGGGAGATTGTCTGTACTGGAATTCGCAACGATCTCGAGTTCCCTGACCCGGATGTAACTGCAGCCGCCGTCTCCATCCTCGCGGCTATCCCCTCGTTCCGGCTCGGCAAACTCATATCTGACTGTAACAAGCAAATCTCCAGCTGCTTCGACTCCCCCTCCGACAACCTACGATTCGCCATCACGGAGACGCTCGGTTGCATCCTCGCGCGTGACGATCTCGTGACTCTCTGTGAGAATAACATGAACTTGCTCGATAGGGTTTCCAATTGGTGGAGTAGGATTGGGCAGAACATGCTTGACAAGTCTGATGCCGTGTCAAAAGTGGCATTCGAGTCCGTTGGGAGGCTGTTTCAGGAGTTTGAATCAAAGCGAATGAGCAGGTTGGCAGGTGATAAGCTCGTGGACAGTGAAAACTCTGTCGCAATTCGTTCCAATTGGGTCTCATCAATGGTGGATTTCACGTGGAGGAAGAGGAATGCACTAATGGCTAGGTCGTTAGTCCTCCCAGTAGAGAGTTTCCGGGCAACTGTTTATCCTTTAGCTTATGCGGTAAAGGCTGTGGCCTCAGGTTCTATAGAGGTGATTAAAAAACTTTCAAGATCGTCAAAGAATGAGAACGCTACTACACTGGACTCTGGAAATGCAGAAAAGTTTGTTGGAGTATCAGATGTTGCTTCTCATCTGGCCCCTTTCTTGGCCTCATCCTTGGATCCAGCATTGATTTTTGAGGTTGGGATCAACATGCTATACTTGGCTGATGTTCCTGGAGGGAAACCTGAATGGGCATCAACATCCATCATTGCAATTCTCACACTTTGGGACAGACAAGAGTTTTCCTCTGCACGCGAGAGTATTGTCAGAGCTGTAGTTACCAATTTGCATCTCCTTGACCTTAGTATGCAGGTCTGTGAATCTAGGCTCTACCAAGTTAATTTTATTTAATACAAGAAGTAAATTACTTGTGCAAAAGTTTAAGCTTTACTAAAGTTGGCATAGGTTGTGCTGACTATGTTTCATTCAGCAATAACAGTAGAAGACTAGACTAACAGTGTTCATTTTACTATCTTAGAGCAAAGATAGAACTAGAGCTTGTTGTTTACTTAACAGGTTGTCGATGTCTATAAAAATGTTTGACACTCTAAACAACTTTAAAATTTCCCTTTGCCCATTTATGTCTGATTCTTCTAGTGGGTTTGCTCATGATCCAAATAAAATGTGTTAACACTTGAGAGGCAGCTTCTCACTTAATGTGTCAGTGTAAACTTACCTTCATCAATTCACATGCATATTGCCTTCATCTGTTATTTCAATCCTACTTACCAAGTACTTTTTTTGTTTGAGATTATGAAAAAATACGTGTTAAAAAACCACAAATTTACTTCATCTGCCTTGTTTCCTTGGTGATTATTAGTTCTCTCTTCCCCCTCCAGGTTAGGTGTAAAAAGAAACAGTAGAGCTGTAGTATTCTCTTCTGTTATATCTCTAGTGGCTTGACATGTATGACAAATTCTACTTCCAATTAACTCAATAACTCCACCGTAATTTTAAAGATTTCCCAATTAACATGTAGGCAAAATCCTTCTTCCAATTAAAGTTTCCAATTGACGGCACTGTCAACTAAACGGTGAGGGACACATGAAGTTTTTTTGAAGAATTTGGGCTTTCTGGTTTATTATGACAATTAACTAATACCAAGAATTACCTTTTGCAGGTTTCATTATTTAAAAGGTTGCTTCTTATGGTGAGAAACCTTAGAGCAGAATCAGATCGCATGCATGCCTTAGCATGCATCTGCCGGACTGCTCTTTGCGTTGATCTTTTTGCAAAAGAAAGTGTTCGGAGAGGTCAAAAACCTCTTCCAGGAACTGATATTGCTTCCCTTTTTGAGGATGGAAGAATAAAAGATGATCTTAACGGTGTAACAAGGACAAGCTTGTTTAGAGAAGAACTAGTTGCAATGCTGGTGGAAAGCTGCTTTCAGTTGTCACTACCGCTACCAGAGCAAAAAAATTCTGGTATGGAGAGCAGAGTTATAGGAGCTTTAGCCTATGGAACTGGTTATGGTGCATTAAACTGGACAGAACCGGCTCTAGAAGTGGTTGAAGTCTGTAGGCCATGTGTCAAATGGGATTGTGAGGGCCGGACCTATGCTATTGATTGCTATTTAAAGTTGCTGGTTAGGCTTTGTCATATTTATGATACAAGAGGTGGTGTCAAGAGAGTCAAAGATGGGGCTTCTCAAGACCAGATTCTGAATGAAACAAGATTGCAAAATTTGCAACGTGAACTTGTTAGAGACCTACGTGAGGTCTGTATTGCTTTTAATGTGATTATGATTTTGAATGCCTATGAGCGTTTTATTGAATTTTTTTGTTTTAGATCCCAAAATATTACGTAGTAATAACTTGTGTACGCTGCACTTGGATTGAGGGGTTTGGATGTGGGAATTGATTTGACTTAGAAACCATAGAGGTGTTGTTTAACTCTTCACCTTATTAAGTACAATTCCGTGATGATTTCATTAAATTCACCTGTTTCAAATCCCAACACCAGTTGGAATCTCAATTCTGTTTGATAGGTCATACCACTTTCTATAACTTTCATTTAATTTTATTTGTTTTCTTATGTTTTTACAAGTTCTTTTGAGCAGTGTCAGCAGACCTTAAGTATTGTTGCCACTTGCCAGTTTAACACAAGATTATTATTTTTTGTTATTTTGAACCATGCTGAAATGTTTAAAATGTTCACATTTTCATATTCATAGTTTCTAATTAACCATGGAAGCTTCAAAATCCATCTTAGCATATACTCTCATACTGGGTAGGTGGAGGAATAATGATTTCATTATCTGAACTCCATATCTGCATCATATTATTCTATTTCCTGTGCATTTCTGTGTTCCAACTTCCAAATGATTTAGCAATTTTGCCTAACTTGGAAGTTCTGTTTCTGTAATATGTTATTTAAAATTATGTTGCATTTGACAGGTGAACACACCTAGAGTATGTGCCCGTCTGCTTTTTGCTATTTCGGAACACATAGATCTAGAGGGCTTAGACCCACTTCTGGCTGATGACCCTGAAGATCCTCTGAACATAATAGTATCTAATATACACAAAGTTCTGTTCAACATAGACTCATCTGCAAGCACAACAAACCGGCTTCAAGATGTCCAAGCAGTTCTATTATGTGCTCAGAGATTGGGATCCCGTAACTCCAGGGCTGGACAGTTGCTAACCAAAGAACTTGAAGAGTTTAGGAGCAATGCTTTAGCTGATTCTGTAAACAAGCATCAGTGCC